CTTGCCAGCTCACATAGCCAGTCACTGTTGGAACGTTCCTTGCCAGCTCACATAGCCAGTCACTGTTGGAACGTTCCTTGCCAGCTCACATAGCCAGTCACTGTTGGAACGTTCCTTGTCAGCTCACATAGCCAGTCACTGTTGGAACGTTCCTTGCCAGCTCACATTGCCAGTCACTGTTAGAACTTTCCTTGCCAGCTCACATTGCCAGTCACTGTTAGAACTTTCCTTGCCAGCTCACACACCCAGTCACTGTTGGAACGTTCCTTTCCAGGTCACACACCCAGTCACTGTTGGAACGTTCCTTTCCAGGTCACATAGCCAGTCACTACTGAAACTTTTTTTGCCAGGTCACATTGCTAGTCACTGTTAAAACTTCTCTTACTAGGTCACATACTACCCAGTAGTCACTGTTGAAATTTTTCTTGCCAGGTCACATTGCTAGTCATTGTTAGAATTTGTCTTACTGGGTCACATACCCAGTCACTGTTGATTTCTTTGTGTTAGTTCGAGCGAAACTTTACAATAATTTGTTTTGGTTTTCTTGGACAGATTAATTAAGTGATTTATTTCAATTCATTCCATAGGTTCTTACATCAGTGAAGATCTGTGATCCGATTTTAACGATAAAAACTTGCGATGCTCAACAGGATTGGATGCTGCTGGCTCTACAGAGCATGCGCACAGGAAAAGCTCATTATTTGGTGATTTGTCAGTGTCCGTCATCAGGAGAACTCATAGGACCAATCAGCCACGAAAATCCGCCTTATGCCGACATCCCTGGCATTCGAGTATTTGGGATGATCTGCGCACGAGGGGAGAGAAGCGCTCGACGGTCGGAAAAAGGTTGGTGACAGAATATACAAAACATATAATTATTTTTTATAGTATTATTATGGCCTTTCGTTGCATATACATAATTAGTTGAAATAATTCAAAATATGAACCAACACTTCAACTGTATTTCTTAATTAAAAAACAAACAAAAAGCAACACTAAATATTTTATAATTGCTTAAATTCAACATCTAAATTCTCATTACTCGTTTTATTTACCATTTTCGCCCGTCTAAATGTTAAATTGATTTGATGCTTTATTATGAACCAAAAGGAATTGCACAAAACCCTAATAGAATGTTCAGGCAAAAAGCACCTTAAACAGTAAAGATTCAGTTCAAAAAACACTTTAAAACCTTTGCTATTGGCTACTAAGGCTGTACATATATAAAACTGCACACAAAAAAACACACGTTAGACTTACACGAAAACGAAAATCCATTCATACAGCTTGTTTGTAATTCACTTGCCAGCCTACAACAAAACGGTTTGGTATATTGCACCCAGACCTTTTGTAGAATACTAAATAAGGTTCTGAAAATATTGTAGCGGTATTGAAAAGTCGATTTATATCTTCTATGTTTTACATCATAATTCTAGTGTAAACGATGTTATCATTACCCCTTGAAGTTAGCTTTCTTACAAATATCTGGTGTTCCTTCAGAAAACTTAATCACAGGGTAAAACAGGAATTACCAGCCAATAATTGGTGAACATTAGATGACTGTAACATGTAGATACTGAATGCTTTGTACACTATACAATCGGTGCTTTTAGGGAGCCAACCCCTATATAAAAAAGTCAAACACATTACATTTTATTAAACACATTCGTATAATAATTACTTTAAAAGACACGAAGGTTTATTTAAAGAAAAGTTTTAGACGTCTATGTTTTATTTGAAAAGGTCGCTGGTAAAATTTTATACGTGCTTAGCGAGGGTTTTATCTCAGTCTAGGCATATATTTACCCATTGCTATACCTTATATAGAGAGAATGTTGATACACAGAAACTATAATGCTCACTATATTCTCATACACATCTTCATGACAATCTCCAGGTGCAGCTTAACATTTTACATCTCGAACTAATGCGATCAAATAGTCAATAGCTACAGTAAATCATCATGAACCGTATCAGCTAGCTACTAAAATGTATAAAATTAACTGCCATATCAAGTAATCTTTTGCCCATAGGTGAGCATAAAAAAGCCAGCAAACAAAATAAATAACAAATTGAGAATTTAAAAACCTGCAAATAGGGATCCTAAAAAAAGTAAGGAAACAAGGCTGGAGATACTGTAGAGATTATTCGCTCAAAATACACATCCCTATTTTGGCTCCATGCTGTTATCTACAATTACATATCGTGGAGCCAAAATAGGGATTCATAGTGTGAGTAAATAATGTGTACAGTATCTTCAGCCTTGTTTCATTATTTTTCACCATCCCTATTTGCAGGTTTTTAAATTCCCAATTTTTTATTTATCTTGTAATAAAATAATTAATTGTTTTAGAAAAGATTTGCTTATTTTTCGATTATATTAATTATACATAATTTTATTCTTTACCTAAGGTGTTGAGGCAATAGCTAATTACAGAATTTTAATTTACATTCAATAATAATAATTATGTCCTTAACCCCCTCCAGCAATTAATCAAAATCACGATAGTCTGTAAAAATACTATATGAACTTCACTGTTTGTTTGAAAATGTTTTAATTATAAGTTCAATTCGTTATGTTTAAAATGTTTGAAGTTGCAAGGGGAAAATATTCCCCCACATTAAAAAAAAGTTGTTTTTCGCCATAAACTGCAGCTTTAATGCTTTCTGCCTTAGGACAAAAATAGTTTGTTACAAAAAAATTATATTTATATTACGGTTCTTCATTGTTTCAGCTTACCCCGAAGTACCTTGGGACCGAATCATCAATTTTATGAACACCACCGTGTGGCGTAGTGAACTGTGAATATTACACGAGGTGACGTTATTTTATATCAATTGGATTATTCTTAACGTATTCACTGTAAACTTATCTACTGCTGTGGTTATATACGATTTTAAATATTTTATTGTTCTTATTATCTAATTACGTTTAACATGGTGCACTTGTTAGGCTTAGATAGCCGTAAATTCGGCCTTTCTAAGTTTCTTACGAATCTTGTATTAATCTAACTGTTAAAATCATGCAGTGAAATTTCTCAAAGATTTGTCTGTATCGATGAGACACTTTTTGATTATATATTCGTTTCGTAATTAGTAACCATAAAAAATATACAAGTGACTGGTTTAGATTACATTTATAAAGAAAAAAAAATAATATATATAATAGTGTGAGCTGATGACGAAATACCTTTTATAAAACCACCAAAGATAAATTATGTTGAATAAATACGTTTTTAGTTGTTAAATCGATTGTATAATTAAAGATTTCTGTGTAAATATTATATTTAACGTTTTAGTAAATAACTACATGATTTTAAAGGCGCTTATAAAGTTCTTTTTCATCTAAACACGTAGCACTAGTAAGTATAAATTTATAAAAAAGTTTGTTGAATTTTTCTAAAGTGGTCGTACTTTTAAATTTTCGCCCTTCACATCTAGTTGTAAATTGTGGTTAATTTCTAAAAACATTGTACATATATAGTTGTAGGCCTATCTATTCAACCAGTATATCCTAGATATTGACTATCGTAGTGTAGGCCTATTTAACCACCCAGCATGTCCAAGATACTAATGTTTATGAACATACGCATGGTCAATGTTGAAAGAGAAAAACAAGTAACATTTTGTAGGTTAAACCATGGAAGACAACAAAGTGTTAATTACAGATAATATTCATATTATATAATTTTGTTGATACAACGTTTCGAGTAGTGCCCTTCTCCGCATATCCGTATACGAAACGAACCATTTCGACGGTCACGTGACACTTATAACAAGGACATGCGCATAACAATGTTTACAAACGCTTGAAACAATATCAGAGAATTTGTAAAACACACTTTATCGAGTTTTAAAATAAAAATTGAAAAATGAGAAAATGTTAAAGGTGAAAAATAAATGTAAATGGAAGTCTAGTCTACACAAGTTAAAGTTACAAACCTATGAAAAAATAAATGGAAGAAAATTTAAAAAAGAAGTTAAAACAAATGGACAGAAACGTTATAAAAAGCTAAAACGTTCATTTGTCATACTGGGCTAGATACTTCTCATGTCAAAAAGGATTATTTTCTTGTAGTTCGCGGTTATATTTGTTCGTGAAGAGCTTTCTCAAAACAAGTATTTTAATACCACCATTATCTGTAAAATTGGGTAAGCTCACGTTGTCAGAAAAAAATGATCCATTGCGGAAATAGGTTTTACGCTTTCCTTTTCTGAGCAATATCATTGGCAAAAAAGACAGATTCAGCCTATTTTTAGCTTCAGTAGACCACTGGCTGATCCATATCGATGGATCGAAATTGCTGACGACTGCTTCAACGACTATCAAACTTTACAATTCTAGTTCAAAAGGGAACCTTTATCTTGAAAATGTAAAAAAAAAATTGAAGGCTTTGTATTGTTAGTTACGGTTTGTGTTGTAGTGGAACGTTCCTGAAGAAGCTGTAAAGCGAAACATTGAGTGTCTAATTAAAGAAAAATAACAAACTTGGGGTTTTTGGTCGTTTATTTCTTGTATTAAAATGTCTTCTATACACCAATATGCACTACAGAAATCTAATAATTCCTAATATACAACTAATATTCGTTGATACATTGGTCGTTATGCAGCCATATCTTTATCTATACTTGCTCTAAAACTGTGAAATCCTTATCATTAGTATTTTCGTTCAGTATCATTTCCGTAATGGAATTCTAAGATCGGTTAATGGGATCCTACCTCAGTACAAAATGTTACCCAATTTGCCCGTGTTAAAATGTTTAAGGGTATGATTGTGCAGTATCGGGTTTTATCTGCCTTACAGTGTATTTTGTCTCTAAGATGTTCTCGTGTACAAGAGAATATATTTTGATGTGCAAATATACCGACTGTAAGCACACGTATTGCAGCGACGTCTATTACAAAGATAGCATAATATTTGGGTTTGTTGAGGTGGGATGTTTGAAGGCTGCTATGAATTAGGTAGTTTTCAATATTGGTATCTTGACGGTAGGAAATTACCGGGGGGAGGAGTCTTGGAAAAATATCTTTAGTGGTGTCACATTCCTTTTGAAATGTGAAAATTATTTAGAATAATGTGTTTAACCTGTCTGTTGTTAGTGTGAGGTCAATAATCGGTCTATTACAGGAGAGTTTAGAGTTCTTTTCTGCGAGAAACGAAGAGGTTTGTGTTGCGGGTAGCCATGATCATGTAAAAAGGTTTCCAGTTCTGCAGTGCGGGCATTGAAATCACCAGGTTAACTACACAGTTTCTGTAGCCTATTTGGGTGTTATTTTTCATATATATTGGATGACTAGAATCAAAATGTCAATAATTGTGGGTGTAAAGAGGTTTATAGTGAGCGCTGGTCGTGATTTTATGGGAAACTCATAGAAAGAAGAATATCCAGAAATAGTAATGAAGAATTGGTAATGTGAGGCCAGTGATAGATGGAAGTTATTTATGTAAAGAATGCTTTTCGTTCTGAGAAGCTGCCTGTGAAGATTCCAACAACGTCATCGATATATACACCTGGAAAAAAGTTAAGCACCCCCGTGTTTTTTTCAAGTGATTCAGAT